TGCTACTTCGAGGGCATGAATGCATCCATATGTTCATTACAGCACATTACAATGGCCAAGTTGTGGAGGCCTTCTGGGTGCCCATCAGTGGATGAATGGATAAAGAGTAGGTGGTACATATATATACAATGGAACATTGCTAGGCCATGAAAGGGAATGGGTTCTTGCGATCTGCGGTGGCATGGATGGACCTGGATGGTATTGTGTTGAGTGGAGTATGTCAGATAGAGAAAGACAGATGCAATGTGATTTCACTTATATTTGGAATCTAAAGAACAAAATAAACAAACAAAACAGAAAACAATTCATAGATACAGAGAGCATTTTGATAGTTGCCAGATGGGAGGGATGTTGGGGTGAAAAAGGTGATGTCAATAAGACTACAAATTGGTAGTTACAAAATAGTCATGGGGATGTAATGCAGCATAGGGAATATAGTCAATAATATGGTACTAACTATGTATAGTGCCAGGTGGGTACTAGACTAGTCAGGGGGATCACTTCTTAAGTTATATAAATGTCTAACCACTATGCTCTATGCCTGAAATTAATATAAAATAATATTGAATGTTGACTGTAATTGAAACATTTAAAAAGGGGGGAAAATGTTAAAGGGAATAAAAGGTTCAAATTTTCTGGTATAAAACAAGTAAATCTCAGGGATATAATGTACAGCATAGGGAATATAGTCAATTTCATTGTGATAGCATGGTACAGTGTCAGATGTTGCTGGACTTGTCATGGCAATCACTTCTTGCAGTGTACAAATGTTGAATAACTATGGTGTACCCCTGAAACTAATATAATATTGTATGTTAGCTGTATTTTAATAAAAATATTTTTTAAATAAATATTTTTAAGTAAATGTCAAAATATGGAAAAATCCAAAAGAAAAACAAACCAGTTATTTTTGAGAAAGTTAATCTCCAGATCTAGGGTATTTAAAGTATTAAAGATGAGAGTTTAACAGCCCCGTTTATAATGTTTGAAACCTCATGAAAAAGTGAGAAGGTACCAGAATAAATAACTCAAAGGCAATGTTTTTTTCTATTTTCCAGCCCAAACCGTTGGTCTCATTTTCCCTCACCCAAGCCTGCACATTCTGCTCTCCCAGCCTCTATCCATCCCTTCCTTTCCTACAGCCATCTACTTCTCTCTTTTCACTGTAGGTCTTCTTGCCTCAATCTCAATCCTCTGGACCCTAGCAAAATTATGTTTTGAAGTCATTTCTGTTAATATTCCTTACTCCCTCAATAAAAATAGTCAGTGGTTTACTTTCAAAGACCAAATGTAAAAGTGCTTTCCCCCAGCAGTCAACCAGGTAACAGAAACATATTATCTACTAAGTGCATGACACCATGATAAACTCTGGCATTCAGGAAGACCCTGTTAAAAAACAAAATTCAACTGAATAAACTTGAAGATCTAATTGGCTTTATTAAGCGATTCATGAATTGAGCAGCATCCCATCTAGCAACTAGAAGGGAACTCTGAAGGGTTCTACAAAATGGAGGGTTTTTATAGGAAGAAGGGTGGGGCAAGGGAGCTATTAACAAAAGAAAAGAAAGAATTATATTTACACCAGGACATCTTTGGGGGGGGGGACAAATGGCACGGGATTTTATCATGCAGATTGCCTCTTCTTTCTATGGAGAATGGAGAGGACTCACATGACAGACTACCTCATTAGTATTTACTAGAAACTTACAGACTGGTTGATTTAGATTATATTTCTGGGAGAAGTTGAAACAGCAATTAGGTCAGTTATTAAATCTAGTTTTGGTATCATGGGCTTTAGTACAAGTGATGGAAGTTTGGGCATGTGGTTCTCTCTATAACAACCCCTAGCAATAGAAGTTACAAGCCTTAATTATTTGAGTCTTTATCCAAAGACCAATTGGGGGCCATGACAGATTGCAAGCAGAGGAGTGACATGACTGGAGTAAATTACTGATTCAAAATCAGAGGAAGGCATAGTGGAAAATAAAAACTGGCTACGCAGTTTTTACAATGCTCTAGGGGACAGAAAGTAGTCACCTGGACTAGAGTGGTAGTAGTGGCATGAAGAAAATGGATGGATTGAAGGGATCTGAGGAGGTAAAACCAACCTGACTTGGTGATGAATTGGATTGAGGAAGGGGGGCTGAAGAAGAGGGAGGCACCAAGACCAACTCCTAAATTTCTAATTGCATAATAGACTAGAGGGTTTTCCCAATCACAAATCAAAATTGAGATGACCTTGAGGCAAGAAGAAATGTCAAGTAGACAACTGGATTTCTAGATCTGGAGCTCCAAGGAGAGGTCTCGGCCATGTTTTTTTTTAAAAGACATCGAGTGAGATGAAAATGGGCCTATGGCAGAGCCAGAATAAATTCTAACATTGAATAACCAGGTGGAGGATGATGAGCTTCCCACAGCAACAATGACAGTAACTCATAATACTTGAAGCTCACTCCATGTCATGCACTGTTCTTGTATGTATCTATTCATCTATGTATGTATGTATGTATCTATCTATCTATCTATCTATCATCTATCTTATAACATTTAATTCTTACAATAACCTGCAAGGTAGGTACTATTAGGATCTCTGTTATACAGAGCTCGGTCTCCCAAACACTGTGCTCTGAAGGTGCAGCTCTGAAATTGGAGGAGAACCAGGCATGTGTGATGTCATAGTAGTTTAAAGAAGAATTTGAAGGTGGGAGCTGTCAACAGTGTTAAATGTTATTGAAAGGTCAAATAAGGTGAGATGTGAAAATGTCCTCTGGATCAATAACATGGAAGCCATTGATAAGCTTAGAAAGAGCTGCTTAGGTAGCAATATGGGAGCAGAATCCAGACTGGAGTATGCTAAGGAATGAGTAGGAGATGAAAGCAGGGACAGATCAAGTATGGACAGATCAAGTATGGACAAATCCACCAAGAAGTTGGGCTGTGAGGTGTGGGCAGAGAAACCAGTGGCAGCAGGACAAAGGTGTGGCAAGGTGCCTGGCAGAGGGATGCAAGTGCTGGCTGGAATTCAGGCAGGTTCTGCACTCAATTTATAAACTGTGGCCTGAAGGAAAGGGTAATTTTTCCAATGCGGTCAGCCCCCTTTTTGCAATTTATCTGTCTGGGGGTGCACTTTCGGATTTCTATGAATGTGTTGTATGTGTCAGCAGCAGCTGTGCCAGAGGAGGAGGTGAATCAATGGGACTTTTTAAAAGGGAGAGACAGGGCTGGCCGAGTGGCATGTTGGGACTTAACTGGCTTCTTAAACTGGCTTGGGACCCCAGAGGGCCCCGGTTCGGATCCCACATATGAGAGCCAGTGACACTGCCCTCTACAGCTAAGATGCTGAACAACAGCTCAACCTGGAGCTGGGCTGCTGTGAGTCGCCGACGACAGTGTAGGCTGCAGTACCCTGCTGCAGTGGGCTGCCATGGGCTACCATGTGTAGCCGGCAGCCAGTGTGAGCGGCCAGCAGCCGCAGTGAGCAGCCGTCCAGAGGCCAGCGACTGATCTGCCTCGCCCGGGAAGAGCGCAATGATGGTGCCAGCGTGGGCCAGTGAAGCAACATCCTCCACAACTAGACTGAAGAACAAAAAACAACAGCAACTTGTCTGTTCCCCTTCCCCTGATTCCCCAATAAAATCTTTAAAATAAACAAATAAATAAAAGGGAGAGACATATACCTATGTATAATTCTTACACTGGTGAGAATAATCTGGTTAAGAAAATGTGGTTAAATTAACAGGAAGGAGAAGTGGTGATTAATGGGGTCTTTTGCTGACTATGAAAACTGGAGAAGAAAGTTGGGGTAGTGGTCATTGAGGTTGGAGTGTAGAGAAGATTTGAACAAGTGGCTGAACGGAGAGAGGATTGTGGACAGAAAGTGAATGCTTGAGCTAGAGGTGCAGTAGTTTCTGTGATGAAAAAGACCAGAGGAGATCTTTTGGAGATGTTCTGACTTTTCCAATTTGAACACCGTCCTCTGGTGGAGATGAGATTTGCTTTCTATCTTCCATTAACCTTACAACACCTTCCTCAAGGGGGTGTTCATTATCCTTGTTCGTTATCCTGCTGAAACAGGGCAAACATTATCCTTGTTAGTTCTCTTTTGGATTTCAGGAACTCTGAGCTTAATCTGCCTCTTGGATTTCCTGTCACTTTTTCATTCATCCTTGAGTATATGTTCCTTCTTTTGGGTCCTTTTAAACACGGAGCTCCAGAGAAATTCCACGATCTTCCCACTCTGATTCCGTAATTTTTTTTTTGGCTCATGTGTTTCAGAATAGGCTTCGTTATGATGTAGTAACAAATGACCCCCAAATCTCTCAGCACCAGGAGGCACAGAGGCACTAAAAATCATCAAATTTTACAAATGAGTACATGGATCCTCAGAATGTCTGTAAAGTGTGCATGCCCCTCAGGGGGCAAAACCCTAAGGAACACGACACTTAAAATTTCATGAAGTCTATGCCTTGACAATTAAATGTGCTGCATGAATGCAGTTAGTACCTCAGATTCCTTTGGACCACCATGCAAGGTGCAATCCTATATCTTTATCTTAGTGGAGGAGTTCTCCATCCAGAACTTAGTAATACCCATAATGGGGCTGATGGGGGCTCTGGATGTAGATAGTGACCAGGGGCTCCTATCTATATTACAGGGGCTGTAAATAGTGTGGTGGCGAGTCTGCCTATGATAGAGATGGCCAGGCAGGGCACATCAAACAGGAGCGGCAATAGAGTCCTCCAGGTGGGGTCCACAACCCCTCACTGTGTACATTCCATACACACGAGCCACTCCCTTGGCTGAAGTTAATTCATGAAGGCTTGACTTCATTGCAGAAGGGCTGAGGAAAGGTGGGGTCTGGCTCAGTGCGCCCCAGCTGGTGTCCCCACCCCACCGGAACTCCACCCAGATCTGGCCGAGCCTTGGGCGAACCCGGGCGTGTAGGGAGGCGGGGAGAAGCTGCCGGGTTGAAGGCGGGGCGGGTGGCTGCCAAGGCGGCCAATAAGCGACTCTCCAGCAGCTGAGCGGAGAGACTGCAGGGGCGCCTCCACTAGCACCACCGCCTCCCAGTTTCCCCTTGTGGATGCACAGCCCTTCTGGCTCCACTCCTACCAGCGCAGAGGGGCCCAAAGAGGCCGGAGGAGCGGACTCAGGACGGGATTTCTGAGGAAGGGGAGAGGACTAGTGCCCCACCCGCTGGGGGGTTGGGGGGCGGTGAACGATGAAGGGCCGGAGGCGGCGGCGCCGAGAGTACTGCAAGTTTGCGCTGTTGTTAGTGCTGTACACACTGGTGCTGCTGCTCGTCCCCTCGGTACTGGACGGCGGCCGTGACGCGGACAAGGGAGCCGGGCACTGCCCAGGCCTACAGCGCAGCCTGGGAGTGTGGAGCCTGGAGGCGGCGGCAGCGGGAGAGCGTGAGCAGGGGGCGGAGGCGCGGTCCGCCGCGGAGGAGGGTGCGGGCCAGTCCCCCTGGTCCCCGGGCAACCTCAGCAGCGCAGTCAGGGAGTCGGTGTCTGGTGAGAAGCAGCACATCTATGTGCATGCCACCTGGCGCACCGGCTCTTCATTCCTGGGCGAGCTTTTTAATCAGCACCCGGACGTTTTCTACTTGTACGAGCCCATGTGGCATCTCTGGCAGGCTCTGTATCCGGGAGACGCTGAGAGCCTGCAGGGCGCGCTGCGCGACATGCTGCGCTCACTTTTCCGCTGTGACTTCTCGGTGTTGCAGCTGTATGCGCCACCGGGGGACCCAGCCGCGCGCACCCCGGGCACGGCCAATCTCACCACGGCTGCCCTCTTTCGCTGGCGGACCAACAAGGTCATCTGCTCGCCGCCCCTGTGCCCCGGCGCGACCCGTACCCGGGCCGAGGTCGGCCTCGTCGAGGACGCCGCCTGCGAGCGCAGCTGCCCACCCGTGGCTCTGCGCGCCCTGGAGGCCGAGTGCCGCAAGTACCCGGTGGTGGTCATCAAGGACGTGCGCCTCCTCGATTTGGGCGTGCTGGTGCCCCTGCTGCGTGACCCCGGCCTCAACCTGAAAGTGGTGCAGCTTTTCCGCGACCCACGAGCAGTGCACAACTCACGCCTGAAGTCCCGGCAGGGGCTGCTGCGCGAGAGCATCCAGGTGCTGCGCACCCGCCAGAGGGGCGACCGCTTCCACCGCGTGCTGCTGGCGCACGGCGTGGGCGCTCGCCCTGGCGGCCCGTCCCGCGCGCTACCAGCCGCGCCACGCACCGACTTCTTCCTGACCGGCGCTCTCGAGGTGATCTGCGAAGCCTGGCTGCGCGACCTGCTCTTCGCGCGCGGGGCTCCCGCCTGGCTGCAGCGCCGCTACCTGAGGCTGCGCTACGAGGACCTGGTGCGGCAGCCGCGCGCCCAGCTGCGCCGCCTGCTGCGCTTCGCCGGGCTGCGCGCACTGGCCGCTCTGGACGCTTTCGCGGTGAACATGACTCGAGGCGCGGCCTATGGCGCGGACCGGCCCTTCCACCTGTCGGCGCGCGACGCCCGGGAGGCTGTGCACGCCTGGCGTGAGCGCCTGAGCCGAGAGCAGGTGCGCCAGGTGGAGGCTGCTTGTGCTCCGGCCATGCGTCTGCTGGCCTACCCTCGCATCGGAGAGGAGGGCGACGCCGAGCCGGCGGTAGATGAGGAGACGCTGCTGGAGACGGAGGCCGACAGCGCCACGTAGACCCCCACCCGCTTCCCGGGGGGCGGATCCGGGTAAGGTCGCCCAGGGCAGGGTGGGGCAGGGAAATGTCTTGGGGAGCTTTGACAAGCCTGCAGGGGAAGGGGGGTGATGCTGTTCCAGATCTCACCCTGTCAGAATAGACCTGAACGGTGGGAAAGCGCTGCTGGTAGAATTTGGAAGAGTCATTGGGATCTCCAGCTTAGTCACCTGCTTCCTCAGGGCAGGACCCTGAGCTGAGAGGGGTTAAATATGGCTGAGGCAGAACCCAGGTCTCCCCACTCCCAGTCCCCTCTTTGAAGTAGGAGGTAAGGTCATCCATGTGTTGAGAATTGGGGAAGTGGGAGAGGGAAGAGGGGTATCAGAGGTCTATCAGAGGGGTATCAGAAGGTTTGAAAGTCATAATGGAACTTGAGCCTGGGAGTTGACATGAAAAGCACAGGATTTCGGAGATATTAGAGTTTGATGATTATGACTCTATCTTGATGCCAATCTGTCCTGTGGGGAAACTTTTTTGCAACAATGTTTGCAGGCACAGAGAAAGCCAACAGCAGGGATTGGTGGAAAGTTATTGACTCTTATCCTACCTCCCCCCAATCTGTTTTATATTTCTTCTCTGCCTCTGTCTCTATGATGTGCAGACTCCAGGGCTTTCCTTCTGAGTTCCCAAGCATACAGGCATAGTCAGGCCTCTCTTACAACAGTTTTTGCACATTTGTGTGTCTCATGGACTTAGCTTTTCTCCTGGCTCATGTGGCACCTCCCCCCGGTTTGCAAGATATTTGACCATATCCCATTTACATCAGGTCCCAAAAGCTGCCTGGTCAGCCTCCTCTAGTGCCAACAAGACCTCAGGGCTTGACTTTTTCCACTTTGCCCCATCCATTTGAGAGATGGAACCTTAGATTGGCAGTAGCAGCTTTGGCTGTGACTGCAGAAGCTTTGTGCAAAGACACTCTCCCCATTTTTTTTGTTCTTTCTCTGTGAAGCATATACCCTGAGATGCTAAAATGGGGCTTAAATGATCTCAAAATGTGTTCAGTATCTGGGTCAGTGTATGGCCTGCACGTTGGGTTGAGGGAAGAGTTTGTTTTGCATAATGCTGGCCTTAGGAGTCTAGCTAGTGGCCTGGGGATGCGTTTCTCCAAACTGTGTGTGAGTTGGAAAAATGCAGCTTTCTGCACTGTGCAGTCCAGAGGAGGAGGAAAAGCAGTGCTGGGTGGGTGGAAATGACTTAAGTTTCCATTCATTATTTTATAGTGTAATTCACTGTTCCCCTGGGATGAAGCTCTGAGGGCAAAGTTGAAGATGCTAATGAAGATGGATTTTGTTGTTGTTAATAGGATTTCAGAGAGATTGCGGAAACTGGCTGATTTTTCTCCCAGTGATTAAGTGGTTTTCTTGGTCAGTTTCTGTAACTGCTAGGAAGTCTGTGTTCCTTCCTGGTTTCCATAGTAAAGGAAGGTAAGGCACTGGGTGACTTGTCACAGTTTAACAAAAACATCCTTTCATCTGTTAATCCTGTATTTACAGATGTAGGTAACATAATGGTCCCTAACCCTCCTTCACAGTCCAGAGGGAACACCTCTCCAGGGCAAATGCTGCAGCATTTTATGGCTTTGAGAACTGACAGTCTCCTAGAACCTTTAGCTTTCCCCCCATTTGTACTAACATTTATTGAGTGCTGACTGGGATGAGGTAAGAAAGAGAATAGAGAGGAGGGTTAGAGGACAAGGTGTTGTCCTCTAGGAAGTTAGAGTCTGTAAGGATGACTATAGGGTAAGACCCTGGTGCTGGTAATTGGAAGACTAATGGGGCTTCCTTTGCAGGGCTGCAGGGACATCTGGGAGCCAGCTTTAGGCTCTGCCACACTTTGGTGACTAAGCCCTTCCTCCCACATTTCTGCTGGAATTATTGGACACTTACCATGTCACCACCAACAACCACTAGATTTACTAAAGTGCTTGCATTCCTTGTTCCTAGAAAAATAACATTATTGACCCAGTGATGAGTTTCTAAAAATCTGTCACACTCCGGGAAGGGAAGGGATCCTGATGTGCCATGCATTGAGTTAGGCATTGTAGTACATCATGATTTTGACATATTATCAATTTTACAGATGCATAATCCAAAACTCAGAGAAGTCAAATAATTTGCCCAAAGTTATATCTAGGCTGATAAGGGTGGAGCAGCATTGGTGTTTGACCCCAGGGCTCAGAATCTCTCCATTATGAGACACCCTTACCTGGTCCCCCTTAGCGTCCCCTGACAGCACCTTTGGCACCCAGCCAGGCTTAGAGACTAGTTTGGGGTGGGAAACACACTAAGCTTTATTACTAATATGTTCCAACCACTGAACAAATCAATAAAATACCCCTGACTTGCCAACAGCACCTGTACAAGAAAGCTGGTGAATCTCCAGGCATCCTTCGCATGACTGTTCTTTGTGCAGGGCATCTGAGCACACGCTCAGCTCAGCAGTGAAGAGGGGCTGCATGTGAATTGACCTGAGTGACTCCTGGATATTCCATACCTGACAACCAGGATTTGGCAGGGAGGGAGTCAGTATACATTTCAAGGAACGGGTAGGGACCTCAGCATCCTGAACGAAGTCACCAAGGCCCAGGCCCTTTCCATCCTTTACATTTCTTTGGAGTTCATTCACCAGCTTATCTTCCTACTTTAACAAGATGGTAGCCTCAGCCACAAGCATCACTTCCTCACACAACTACTCAGGGTTGTTAAAATGCATAAAGAAAGGAATCTGGTTAGCAAGTAAGTGGTGGAGGAATTTTCCCTTATGTGTCTCTCTTTCCTTCAATCTGGTTATAAAACCTTTCCCAGACTCCCTACCCCCAGCCAACTTCCTTTGATGTCTCACTGGCTAGAACTGACTGGGTCACATGGCCTGCCCTAGCCCAAAAATTGGTGAAAGGGCCTGGGATCATCATATTGGCTTAGACCACATTACATTCACCTGAGGAACTTTTGGTTTTAATGTGAATACCTGAGCTCCACCCCCAGAGATTGTGATGTAATTGGTCTTGGTGGGGTCTAGGCATTGGGCTGTTTTAAAAGCTCCCCAGGTGACTGTACTGTACAGCCAAAGTTGAGGACCACTGATTTGGACCAGTTATGATTCATCCCCTGAGCTGAGCCATTGCCATGGCAACAAGATCAGGATGGGGACTAAAGGGCTGTTAATGAGCAGTGAACTGTCTGCACAGTAATTTATGTGAATGAACTTGGAGCTATGAAATTCCAAGCAGATGTACGGTGTTAATATGGAAAGGCGTAAATGTCTTAAATTATTCACAGCTTTATTTATCACCCTCACTTTCCTTCTAAGGCTTTGTTGTCTATATTCCTTATCTAATAATCCATCATTGTACACTGTCTGCTATTGTTCCAAACAGACTGATGTGCTGTCCTGTCCTTTTCAGCATTTCTCTCTTTGACCTCTGCCCTTGGTAGGACCCATGATTTCATTCCTGTAGGCATTTAAGGCACCTTGGCTTTGTTCCTCTTGACAAGATAGATGGACCCTTTGAATGAAATTAGAAAAGGAGGTAAGTGTACTGTAACCTAAGCCCCAACAGTCAGAAAGCTTTCTTTCTAAAGAAATCATCCAAACAGATAAAGAAATGACCAGCCACCGCCAAATCCCTAACAAAGCATTTTGAAAGTCATTCCATTTTAGTTAGGATACTATGTCCCAAATGGCTTATGTATAAATATCACTGAAAGGAGAACCTCACGCTTAAACACAGACTGCTAAGGAATGGACATTTGTTAAACATTGCTCCTACATAGTATTTCTCATTCAACAAAATTTGTTTAAATTCCCAACTGTAAGGCAATGTGGGTGCTGTGTTCATGCCAAAGGGCTGGAAGTTAGGATAGTGTTTGTGTGTGTGTTTGTGTGTGTGTACACACAGATACCTGAGTGGCAGGGCTGCAGTAAGGTGCAAACAATTTTTAAAAACACGTCCACATCCAAGTCCTTATTGATCCTTTGTGAGGTTAGTGCTGCCTTTGATCAATACATTCTTGGAGCTCCCCCTTGGGGCTGCGTTCCCAGACAGGACCCCCTCAGTTGACAGTGGATTTGGTGTTTAGGAAAAAATCCAGATTCATCAAGTCTGCTGAGCAGGTCAAAGGAGGAGGCTGGTCTTGCATAGGGAGGTGTGGCTATGAGGTAGTAATAGAGTCATTCCTTGGCTCATGTGAAATCAGTTTTTATATTAGGGCACAGGAAGCCAGGCATCAGGGCCTGGCTCTCCTGGATACCACTTGATTGACCTTGGGCAAGTCCTTAAGCCTTTTGGCTTTAGTGTTCTTACTAATAAGAAGAGGTGCTTGAATTAAGAGGATTTCCAAGGTTTCTTGGTGCTTAAGGGGAGGTGACATTTATTGAGTGCCTGTTTTATGCACTGTGTTACTTGCTTATTGCCTGTTATCTGAGTTACTCCCTATCTTAGCTTTATGAGGTAGATAGTATCCCCATTTTATGGATGGTGAAACAAGCTCAGAGAAGTTGGGTAATTGTCAAGGACAACACAGTCAGAGGGTGAAAATCAGATGCCATCTATTTTGAAACTAGTGTTTTCAAAAATTTTTTAGAAATAATATAATCATGTGGTTAAAAAAAAAGTTCAAAAGCATAGGAAAATATAAAATGCCTGCTAGTTTCACTTCCTAGAAGCAACCACTACATTTCTTATGAGATATGTATAGAAATGCTTTGTGCAAATTCAAACAGAAATATGTGGCCTTTTTGTAGTTAAATCTTTTTAGTTTTAATTCCTTGAAATTTAAAAAATTGAGATATAAGTAGGGTAATCTTATGTAGCAAAGGGTATATGCTTTGTACATTTTGAGAAGTAAAGTTCTATAAAGTTACACTAACCTTTGCTCCCATCAACTGTTTCTTGAAGTGTCTCTTTCCTAGACTTTCAACAACATGGATTTTATCAGTTTTTTTTATCTTGGCTAGTCTGATGGGTGGAAAATCATCTTTTCCAGAATGCTGGCT